AATAAAAAATAAAATAGGTTTTGTAAATGGGAGTCCAAGAAAGTTTATTACAGACAATTTGGCAGGCTCGGGTTTATGGTAACGCAGTGTTTCTACATACAGTTTTAAGACTAGAACAATTATAAATCTTTTTAAAAAAATCTACTAGCTTTTCTTGTTAATATTAACATCAATTTCTTTAAGTTAGTAATCTGCCATTACAGGAGCATAGCACCAATTTAATATTTATTGCTGTCATTTATCCCTACAAATATATTTTCCCAAGATATTTACAACTGTACAAATATTCACAAAAGTGCAAAATTAAGACTTTATCCTGTGTAACCGTTCGTTGTGTCCGGTGTCGAGCCCCACGCATCACGATGACTGCCGTCTTGCCTTTCTTATTGCTGTGTGGTGAAAAGCCAGAACACCCTGCTGCGAGTACAGCGATTTGGAGTGAAAATTTCCAACAACCGCCTCTTCTCCCCCCTCCCTCCCCACCCGCCTTCAGCTCTGTTACGTGCCGCAGCCACAGCCCACTGGAAAGTGTCTCTATACATCGTTCGAGCCTTGGCTGGCGCAAGAGGAGAAGCTATCGTATAGAGAATCGCTCAGGGATTCTAAATTGTCCACGTCGTGCCTACCCGAGCTATTTAAGGAAGCTTCTTCTTTCTTTCCATTTTCTTCCTTTTGTCCTTCAACCTTGTTCAGACAGTTCTTCTCTTTTTCTAATAAAAGTACGTTATTGCTGTTAAATTTATTGAGAGACTCCAGGGAAATTTTAGATAATCTATTCTGGGAATCGTCTTTTGTTTCTTCAGTTTGCTTCAATTTCTGTAATAAGTGAGGGAAATATTAGAAACATATTTCTTATAAAGTTATCCTACTGTACACCATTAATTACTGTCTTTCCAAAGTTCACAGGGTTAAAGGAAATAGATTGTTAGATGCTTAAATATCTGTTATAATTCAATAGAACATTAATGTCCATTTTAGGATAAATCATAACTTTAATGTTTCTGCTGAGACAAATAGGACTCCACTTACAAAACAGTTAAGTGCTATTGACGTCTTAAGTAGCAGATCCTGGGTATGCATGTGTTAAGCATCTCCAGCATCTTCACAGTAATTTACGTCTTCTTTATGAATACTTTGGGGGGGGGTATGTTTAAACGGGTATTTGTCTAAGTAGAGTTTGGTGTCTGCTAAAAAAAAAAAGGTGCGTAGACATGTTCAGAGGAAAAAAATGGCATTTTCCATAAATAACAGACGCAAATGAAACTTGCTAGAGAATAACCTCACATTTTGCATGTGTAAGCCTATTGATTTCCACGGACCCAAACCCTCTCTAATAGACAAGAAAACAAGACAGGAAATTATACTGAA